GTAAGTTTCATTCAATAACAACTATCTTACTTTGGGCTGGAACAACAGTACAGTGGATATGGTTCCCCGAGCCTGCCAGGAGTGATCCCTGATAGTATGGCCAGGTCTAAGACTAAGTACTGCTGGGTGTGCCTCCCTCCCCCCAAAAACAAGCAAAAAGACCTCCTAAACAAATAAATAAAAAATCCTACTATCTTACTTTACACACACACACACACACACACACACACACACACACACACGTAGATTGCAAAACATGTACATTTCTGATCCTAATTTTTCAAACTTTAAGATATGTAAAAATCAACATGTCAAAAGGGGAAAGATATGCCGATCAAAATGATAGCAGTCATTTTTCTCTGATCATGAGTTTTTTCAATTTTTCAACTTCTTAAAAATATTTCAATAAAATGCATAATTTTCACATAACTGGGATAATTACACTAGCATCACTTATTTTAGGGAATACAAACCGTAAAAAATTTTTTATGAAAGTATGAGGTTTTAAATTGACAAAATTTAACAATTTGATTTCTAAGTGAAACTGAAGATTGCTGCTTTATCAACCTTGTTTTCCTATCCAAGCACTCACTCTACTGGTGACATAGAGAATATACTTATTCTAACATTTCTGAAGTAGCTGCATTATCTTCCACAAGCACCAGAGGGCAGGGTTTTTAATATGAAATTTAATTTCACTAGTATTACTAACTTTTCTTAAATAATTCAAATATGAGAAAAAAAACAAACAAACAAAAAGGGCTGGAGTGATAGCATAGTGGGTAGGGCATATGCCTTGCATGTGGCCGACCCGGGTTCGATTCCCAGCATCCCATATGGAAACCTGAGCACCGCCAGGAGTAATTCCTGAGTGCAGAGCCAGGAGCAACCCCTGTGCATCGCCGGGTGTCACCCAAAAAAAAAAAAACAAACATAAAATTAAAATATGTATGTATGTTGTATGTATATGCACACATAATATATGTACACATATATTTAAGTTAGACGGCTCTGGGCTACAGTCAGGTCTTACTCCTGACTCTGTTCACAAATCACTCCTGATGATGGTTAGAGGACCATATGTGGTATGAGTAATCAAACTGGGATTGACTGTATACTCGGCAAGCACCTTGTTTAAGCACCTTACTGGGGCCAGAGCAGTAGTACAGCTGGTATTTGCATGCAGCTGACCTAGGTTTCATCCCCAGTATCCCATATGGTCCTCCAAGCATTGCTAGGATTAATTCCTGAGCCCAGACCCAGGAGTAATCCCTGAGCATTGCTGGGTGTGCCCCCCCCCCCCCCGGCCCCTCTCCCCTAGAAAGCATCTTACCACCAGCACGAACCATTAACAAGTAATGGTTAGTTAGTTAGTATGGTTAGTAGATTAATAAGTAATCTATATCTATGATCTGATACTTAAGACTGAACAAACACATTGAATTTGAGGGCTATTACTACTGGCTTTAGTTTATTTATTTATTTATTTATTGCTTTTTGGGTCTTACCTGGCAATGCATAGGGGTTACTCCTGGCTTGCACTCAGGAATTACTCCTGGCAGTACTCGGGGGACCGTATGGGATGCTGGGAATTGAACCCGGGTCGGCCGCATGCAAGGCAAATGCCCTACCCTCTGTGCTATCGCTCTAGCCCCATGGCTCTAGTTTAAAAGATAAAAATTGTTTTAAAAAAACTGAAATTTACTATCCTCAGAATTCTGATTATTTTTTGTTTTCACTTTTTGGCTCTTGGGCTATACCTAGTAGTGCTCAGGGGCGACATCTGTCTCTGCTCAGCAATCACCTGTGGGTGCTCTGGAACCATATGAGGAGCTGGGATTCAAACCAGGGCTGTGGCAGACACAGCCACAAAAATTAAGAGCACAGCTACTTCTCCAGCCCCTAAATTCAAGATCTTTAAGAGAACACCAAGAGTTTGTAAGCTGAAAAGGATATGACATTCCAGGGAGAGAAAAGTGCCAGAGTAGAACCGCTGCTTCTCCAAAGTGCATCCTTTATTTGGGGGATGCCTCTATATCCATGGTACAAATACCAGAGAAAAAGAGCTGACAATATAGTTCGAAAACTGAGGTCACTTTACTTGTAAAATACAAGTGAAAACTTGTATTTTACTAGCTCCACTTTATTTTGAAGGCAATGGGAGAACACTTTTAAACAAAGGAATGTGTTCTGGCCTGCGTCCTGCCTTGAATCCCTTGAATGCTTGTCACTATGTTTCTTTGCTTATCTATTTTCGCTCTGAAGAAGCCTGCCTTCACTTCTAAACACAGGCTTCTCTCTTTCTCCCCTTCACATCTTTCTAAATAAGTTTCAATGAAAACTATCTTGCTACACACACACACACACACACACACACACACACACACACACACACAATATTAAGGAACAATTTTAAATAAAGGAAAGCTGTTACTAAAATCTCTGTCTAGAAAGATAGCAATATGTAACATAAATGAGAAGCATGAGAAGAGAACTTGGCATAGGGAAGCACAAGAAGTCAAGAAAATTGGCCACATTCCACAATAGGGCAAAAATGTTCGGGGAGAGGGAATGCAAAGGCTAAATATTACATTTCAAAAGGGAGGAAAAGCTGGGCTTGTTGAAGGAATGAAGTAATAAAGGCATTAATCCTTGGTAACTGGGACTCTGATATTTATAAAAAGTCTATTAAAATAAAAACACCTTAAATAGTCTGCATAAGAGTTTTATAGTTCTGTATGCCATGTACTTTCTGAAATCCAGGTTGTAAGATTATTTAATAGCTAAAAATTGGGGGGGGGGGATAAGACAGAAAAAGAAAAGGAAAAAAAATGAGACTGTACTTTGTGAAAGACTACTGAAGTAAATTTTATATTAACACATATTAGATTTGTATCTCTTCTTAAAAATAACTTATGTCGGGACTGGAGCGATAGCTTAGCGGGTACGCGGTCGACCCAGGTTCGATTCCCAGCATCCCATATGGTACCCTGAGCACCGCCAGGGGTAATTCCTGAGTGCAGAGCCAGGAGTAACCCCTGTGCATTGCTGGGTGTGACCCAAAAAGCAAAAAAAAACAAAAAACAAAAAACAAAAACTTATGTCAGGGCTGGAGCAATAGTACAGGGGGTAGGGCCTTGCACACGGCCAAACCAGATTCGATTCCCAGCATCCCATATGGTCCCCTGAGCACCGCCAGGAGAAATTCCTGAGTAAAGAGCCAGGAGTAACCCAAAAGAGCAAAAAACAAAACAAAACAAAAGCAAAAACTGAAGTCAATGGGCATTGCAATTCCCCCAAGTAAGCTATAGGATGCACAGTACCGTTAGATATAACTCGGTAGAGCCAAAACAATTAAAAATATGAAATTGCTTTTTTTCTGAAGGGGTATCTCCCAAGCAGAATTCAGTGAATAGGGAAATGGGAGGGGTCGGTGGCATACTCAGCCTAGTATTGTGGGATGGTTTGATGCTTGGGCCCAGTGGGTCACCAGGGCTGCCTACATTTGGCAGTGTTGGGCACCTTGTGGCACCACAAATCAAATTTAGGGCATTGTGCATGCCAGGCACACACACTAGTCCTCTGAACTACCTCCACAGCTTGAAGCCAAAATTTTCAAACTTATAATTTTAAGACTGAGATCACGGTCACTGTCCTCTCGTTGTTCATCTATTTGCTCAAGCGGGCCCAGTAACATTGTGAAACTTGTTACTGTTTTTGGCATATCAAATATGTCATGGGTAGCTTGCCAGGCTTTGCCTTGCAGGCGAAATATTCTCGGTAGCTTGCCGGGCTCTCCGAGAGGGGCGGAGGACTCGAACTCGGGTGGGCCATGTTGGCTGCGTGCAAGGCAAATGCCCTACCTGCTGTGCTATTGCTCCAGCCCAAGACTGAGATATTAGTTTGATAATTAGAGACCAAGAGAACTAATGATTACTAACTATCATTTACAGAACTTTATAGTCTCTCAAATAGATTTTATACAATCTCTACAAGGTACCCATGAAGTGGGCTGGAGCTGATAGTAATAACAGTAGTAACTATAATGCTGTAATAATAAACATATCTTTTACAGAACTTATTTCTTGTCTTTAGCCTCTCCCTTCTCCATTATTTACAAAATAAACTAGAAGTCTTTTATCTATGTGGACATTTATACACAAACCTTTGATTCTCCAGCTAAACTGGGGCAACTGCATTACTAAGCTTCATGAAACTCTTCATGAGATACAGACTAAAGAAATTCAATATTGCTCTGCTATGTAATGTGCCTAACCCAATCTAGACATATAAATTGGGTGCCATAAATGTTAAAACCAAAGTTCATTTCAAGGAAAAGTCTGATCAAATTATTAAGTCTGATCAGTTTATTCATAAATTTTACATATTACTTGCACACATTATAGTAAAAACATACAATATTACTATTAGTTCAACTTTCATAAATTGTTTATTTTGGGGGGCTTTGGCCATACCCAGAGGTACTCGGGACTTACTTCTGGCTCTCTGCTGTGAGGCAAACAGGGACCTACCACATGTAAGACCTTAATCCCTGTACTTAATCTCTGTACTAACACCTTAACCCCTATACATAAAACCTTAATCTCTGAATTCTCTCTCTGGCCCTCAAAAGCTGTTTTGATGGTATTGATTCCAAAGGACAAACAGTCATTAAAGTTTCTAAAGTCTCATTTATTGGATTTCATTATCTGAAAGAGGAATGCATTGTCAAGGATAAAGTGTTAAATGCTTGACCTCATTTATCTAAAGATTAACCAAGAAGAAACCCTTGAGCCACCTGCATGTTATAAATTAAAGATTGGTGCCTAAACATGTCACCTTATAATTATGCAGCCTCTTACTCTGTTTTCCATGGATTGGAAAGGGTTAAGTCAAGAGCAACAGGGCAGTGGAAGAGCACAAATCCAGCACAGATCTGGGGTTGAACCCCCATACCACAAACATAAACAAAAGCAATCAGAAGAAATAGGATGACTTACCTGAACTTGGCAGGAGAAAGAGGAGTAGGAGGAAACATTCCTGGTTCAAAAGAGTCGAAATAAGTCACTGTCCAGGAAAAGCTGCAGCAGCAGAATCCAGCAGTTAGTGAGATTGTAAGTAGAGTCCAGAAACCTTAATGGAAGAGAATGCGATTAACAGAAAATCAAGTTACATTTAAATAGTGTACAAATATGAAGGCACAATTAGAAATCCATCATTAAATATTTTGATCCAATTAAACACATGTAAGAAAAGAAATTCAACTCAGAAATAGAACCTATTCTTAGTTAAAATGTCAACTGTAGGAAAAATATCTAAAACATTTCACTGCTAAATGTCTTGGCATGTTTCATTTAACTTTGTGAACCACAGCTCATATTATTTAGTACTAATACTTCCCATACTTTTGCCATATGAATCACATTTAGATATCTATTCTTTACAGATTCCCTATAAACTACAACCTAATCTGACTCTTTAACCTTGCTCAGTATATGAACAAAAGTTAACTCTAACTTTAAAAATGGACTGGGATTCTTAAAGTTATTTTCAGTGGGACTGGAACTTATTTTCTTAAAGAAACAGAAAAAGTATAGTACATATTACACGCATGAAGGTGAAAAATATTGAGAAATAGAAGAATGGTGGAATGACCAAAGTGACAATACAAAGAAATAAACTAATTTAAATGTTTTTAGATACATAAACTACTTCAAGACAAGTTTACTAAGCCAGTACTATGAAGACTGTGTCCCAAGTCCCAAGAATATAAGGTTGAGAAGATTAGAGAATAAACTGATAAATGACCAGATTTCTGAGAACAAAATGTGCCACCAAAACACAGTGGCCTGTTTGAAGCTGGGAGTAACACTAAAGCATTACAAAAGACACACTAAAAGCAAAAATGCAACATTTTAAAAAAACAAAACAAAACAAAAAAGCAAACCTGTGACCAGCTGGAGAGAGAGTACAGAAGGGTTTAGAGGCTTGCCTTCAACAGGCCAGCACTGCAATTATGGGTCCCCAGCACACCAGAAGTGATCCCTGAGCAGAGGCAGCAGTAAGCCCTGAGCACGGCTGGGTGTGCCACCCTCTACTCCTGGCCCCCATAACTCCCCCCTGAAAAAGAAAAAAAAAAAGAAAAACTGCAGAAAAGTATTTGGAATTGATTACCCTTTTATTTATATTTCCTAATTTTACTCTCGCCCTTGCACTCTTTTAAAGAGAATATAATGAACTTCACTTTCCCACAATGAAAGGAAAAAAAAGAGAGAAAAGCATAAAAAGTAAAGCAGAAAAGAGAAGGGAATCTCTGTACTAACAATGGACATAACAACAAGAAGAAAAATTCAAAAAGTCTTAAATAAGAGCTAGAAAGAGTACAGTATGGAAAGGCACTGGGCCGACCTAGGTTTGATCCCAGGCCACCAGGAGTGATTTCTGAGTGCAGAATCAGGAGTAAGCCCTGAGCATTGGAGAGAATGGCTCAAACCCCACCCCCCACAAAAACTGTTTTGAAAAGATAGGATAATGTAGCTCAGATTGTAGTATAGGTAAAAGTCTGTGTATAACAAAAGGGGATGACCTTCAGGTGAGATAGTTTCCCCCCAGAGCTGAAGTATATCATACATGGTCATTGTAACATGATGTCATACGTGTGTGTGTGCGTGCGTGTGTGTGTGTGTGTGTGTGTGTATAAAATCACTTGATCACACTTGACATCCCGTTACTCATCAATTTGCTCGAGCGGGCGCCAGTAACATCTCCATTCATCCCTGTCACATGCTAGTGTAGCCCAATGGCTTCTGCTCGTTTTAGGAACACGAAGAGCCTCAAACCGATCATTCAGGGTCTTGACTAAGAAGTCTAACCATCTGGTAGGTGGGCGACCACACGATCTTTTGACGTCCAGTAGAACCCAGTCAGTGGTCATCTCCAAATCTCATTATGTGTCCAGCCCATCTGATTTTCGACGCCATGGCAAACGAGACAGCATCCTTGATTCTTGATCGTCAACGGAGGTCGGAACTCCGGATTCTTTCTCTCATTTGAGTGAAGCGTGATACTCCAAGCATAGCTCTTTCAATTCCACTTTGGGAGACCCAAATAGCGTTCTCATCCTGTTTGCGTAGGGCCCAGGTCTCTGAGGCGTATGTTAATGCAGGAAGAACAGTGGAATCGAAGAGAGGGCTGCCCAGAGTCGATGGTTCTTTGTCCTCTTAGCTATTGCTTTGACGCTCTTGAAGGCGTTCCAAGCCGCTCTCTTATTTCTGTGCAACTCAGATGCCAGGTCATTCGTCAACCTAGGTCACTTAACTGTTACATTCGGAGATGTTCATTCTGTTGAGAGCAAATGAAATGTCAGGAACGAGACTGTTTCTCATAAACATTGTCTTCATGAGATTCAGCTGCAGTCCGACCTTTCCACACTCACGGTCGAAGTCGGCAGCATTTGTGCTGCTTGGCTGATGTTTGGTGTTATTAGAACAATGTCATCAGCGAAGCAGAGGTGTTGTAGTTGCCGACCATCTATCTTCATTCTCATTCCTTCCCATTCTAGTCGTCACATGATGTTCTCGAGGGTGGCACTGAAGAGTTTTGGTGAAATGATATCACCCTGCCAAACCCTTCTCTTGACATCAATGATTACCTCTCTGTAAAATGGTGAGATCCTGGTAGTGAATCTGCAATATAGCTCACGGAGGATCCTGATGTATTGAGTTTGAATGCTCTGTTTGGCTAGGGCTTCGATGACTGCTTCAGTCTCAACAGAATCAAAGGCCTTCTTTAAATCAATGAACGGCATCTTGAACTCCCGAGAAACCTCAATGAGCTTGGTTACCGTGTGGATATGGTCGATTGTGCTGAATCCTTTTCGGAAACCCGCTTGCTCGCATGGTTGTCCTTCATCTAGTGTTCTGCCAATCCTATTCAGGATGACTCGAGTGAACAGCTTGCAGACGACAGACAACAGGCAGATTGGGCGAAATTGCTAATGTCATGGATGTCTCCCTTCTTGTACAGTAGTACAGTCCTCTTGATTTTCCATTGGGACAGAACCTTGCATTCAGACAGGTAGCATGTGAAGAGCCAAGCCAGTGTATTGATGAGTAGTGAGGGCAGGTTCTTCAGGTGTTTGGGTCTGATCTTGTCTGGACCAGGTGCTGCTTGCTTCTTTACCAATAAAATGGCGTGTCGGATTTCGGAAGGGAGAACGTTGGAAACGACATATCCATCCTGCAGAATTTGGTATGTGGGCAGGTGGACGTGGCTATCGAAGAGATCCGAGTAGAAGTCATGGATAATCTTCTACAACGAAGATAGAAGCTGCCAGCAGTGAGCCACATCTATTCAAGTGTAATTGTCTGATTTGGGTTGTTAGGCATTCAAATGAATCAATGTTTATAGCCAAGTTCGTGTTCACAAGGACACCAACACCACTGATACCTCTTCTGTCGCATGTTCCAAGAAACATTTCTTCCCCAGCGTCGAAAACAGCGTGATGTGATTGATGCCTTCTCGACTCAGTGAGACCAATGATGTCGTACTTGATCTTTTGTGCTTGCACCATCAGGTCCTTGATGGATGCATCGTATGCCAGTGTACGTGCATTGAAAGTAGAGTGTCATATTTGTCCTTCTTAGTTTTGGCAGCCTAGTTCAGCCCTGAAATTTTATCAGTCTCTCCTTCCTCATCCTTCTTAACGCTGCTGTATTGGTGACTCTTTCAGGGTCAGGGGAATGAGACCCATTGTATTTACTGGTTTTGGCATATCGAATACACCACGAATAGCTTGCCAGGCTCTGCTGTGCGGGCGGAACACTCTCAGTAGCTTGCCAGACTCTTCGAGAGGGCTAGAGGCTTTTAGGGCGGCCTCTAATCGTCCTTGAGGTGTTCCTATGGTTCAAACCATATTTGAACCCCATCAAATATGGTGTGGTAATCTTGTATTAAGTGTTTTAGGTAGTGGAGGTCTGCCGAGCCTGGAATCCAAGGTCAGAATGTTCCGCTTTCCAGGCTTTGTGCGGCTTCACCCGTGCGTCTCAGCCCAAGTTTCGGGAAAGCATCCTGGAGCGTGGCGTCAGCTGGGTAGTGGAGGTAGTGGAGGTAGTGGACCCCATATACATCCACTGTCACTTTCCTCCCGTTGTTCATCGATTTGCTCGAGTGGGCCCAGTAACATTGTGAGACTTGTTACTGTGTTTGGCATATCGAATACGTCACGGGTAGCTTGCCAGGCTTTGCCTTGCGGGCGAGATACTCTCGGTAGCTTGCTTGGCTCTCCTAGAGGGGTGGAGGAATCGAACTCGGGTGGGCCATTTTGGCTGCGTGAAAGGCAAATGCCCTACCCGATGTGGGGTGTATTAATGCTGCTAGGGCTTCCCTGAAGAGCCCTGAGAACTGGTGAGACATCAGGCAGGGGAGTATAACTTTATGTTATCTTGGCAGATAGATTCAGAATCAAACTTTCAAGTACCTCCAGTGAGTACAGAAACAGGAGATGGCCAAAAACCAGAAAGGTAAAAATTTGATGTCACCCTAATCAAAATGAGACTTAGCAGCAACTCATTTGTGCAAATGTCTTAAGTACTAAACTGAATCTTTATTCTAATATCCTAGTAGTGGCAGCCTTTAGAATTTTAATCCAACTTGGGACTACTTAGACAGACCTAAGTAAAAGCATGTGTACACCTTCCCTGCTAACCCAATGAGATAATAGGATCAAAAGGAAACAGAGATTTACAGAATGTACAACTATAAGATATGGGTGGTTAAGTGCCAAATATAGTGCCAAAGAGTTGCTAAGATAACTGACAAGTTTACATTAAGTTTGCCAAAAATGAAGTCTGCTGAAAAATAATGGTAATATGGGGCCAGAGAGATATACAATGAGTAAGGTGTAGTCAGGAGTAAGCCCTGAGCACAGCTGTGTGTGGCCTTCAAACAAAAACAAAACAAAGATTAATGATGGTGATTTAAAAAAATCAGGAATGTTTGAGAATTGCTGTGGAACTCCTAAGTTCTTGGGAAAAAAATGATTAAATACATAACAAAATATAATTCATAGTTTATAAAGTTTCTTTCTGAGGTGCTTTAATAAAATACCTGCCAAGTTTAATACAAGAACATTC